AGTTGTTGGCATGTAATACTAGTTTTTGTGCTCAAGAGGTCCTCTTCAATGTATCCAACAATTAGTATTACATGCCAACAACTGTTTCCATTTAATAAGAGGTCTCTGGGGTGAAGTCCCCCACGTCATAGGAGCTCAGTGCACCAATCTTGATGAGGAGGTGGAGGATGTTTGAAAATTCCTTAAGGTCTTTAAGGGGTTTCGGCTGAGAAAAAGCATCACCATCATGAGTGAAGTTAGAGGGACAAACTCAACCAAAAAGATTATTTAAATTGTCTGGTTTATTGCCCATTTGGGACGGCCTTCATCTCCAACCAGAGGTCACAGGGCTCAAGAAGTGAATTTCCTGTTAGAATTAATGATCAATTAGTCGGGTGTGGGAGAGAAGTATGTAGTCTAGATTGTCACTAATAATGTCAGGGCAAGTATTTCTTCGGGATTGAAGTTGATGCTCAAAATGAAATATCTGGTGTGGACCATGTGTACTACTCACAATATTGATCTCATGTTGGAGGAAAAAGGCGAGATCAAGATTGCGAAGGAGGTTCTAAGTCGGGTGAGTTCAATGTCAAAATTTATCTATAATCCAACACTTGAAGAGAGAACACACTGAGAATAAGGAGCTAATCAGACCCCCCATTACTTGCTTTGCAAGAGACTACTTAGCCATGGACTCTTTTCTATTACCGCAAGCTGCATTGAGGAGGTTGTTCACCTCTAAAGAGTGGGCGAAAGACTGCCTATCAAGGTCCTGTGACAGATTAAAAGTGGACAGCGTAGTCATTGATAAGAGGTTCTAGTAAGGTGTGCCAACGTCACTGAGGTCATAGCTTTTAAAGTGACATTGTCAAAATTGGTGGATCTTGATAGAAAACCACATGGGGCTCGTCTACGAAGGGATCAAGAGGGTAGAGGCAGCTATTTAATAGAAGTATAGTTTTGCAAATGAAGTGGTGGAGATCGTTGAGAGAATGTGGAACGAATAGTTGAGCAAACCAATTCATTATGCAGGTAAATACTTATTTATACATTTAGAAATTTAAATATTTAAATGTTTTATCACTTTGAGGGTAAATGGTTTCTGTATCTTTGTATTGTTTAGGTTTATGCTTTCACCCCAAATATTTCTATTTGACACTTGTTATTCCCAAAGGTCATTGAGAGGTGAAATACATTATTAAAAGATCAGAGAGAAACCATAGGAGCTAAATACAGGCATTTGGGGAGGTAAGATTAACCTTTTTTGTACGAATTTCATAAACTTATTGTATTTGTGATGTCTCATTAAAGCTCTAAAACATGATCTTTGTCTCGAATTTCTATGTATAAAGATGCAGAAGGCTTGTAAGAAACTAGATTTGCTAGGTCTTCTGGCAAGGGGTTCAACTAGATTGGTTATGCATTCTTTCATAAGCTTCCCATGATGACATATTTTCAACTTTCTTATAAGGCTTCCTGTATATTTGAACAGCTGAGTGGTGGGAAATACATGTCATTTGAGGAAGATAGCAACCAAGATACTTTCTTAGACATGCTCAACTACATGGTGTGAGTGAAACTAGAGTACGTTCCAGTGGTTATACACTCCTATAGGAAACAACTAACTTCACAGATGCTTCAAAAGCTCGTATATGTATATTACAATTTGAACCTCCAAGAGTGGCAAATAAGGAGGAAACAACCTAATAAACCTAGAAGCAATATTCTTAGCACATACTGTCGATTAGTGTGTGGTGGAAGAGGAGTTAGTGCTATGTAAAAGAGCATTCTTTAAGGCAATTGATGAGGAAGATGACGAAGAAGGTGTGGACGAGCAAGGACAAGGAGGTGACCTGCTAGTATTTAGCAATCTGCATGATATCTAGACGGTCATGTACCTGTTGAAGAAGAGGGGGGAGGAGATTTTCGTTGCTTGGGGGGGGGGGGGAGATAAGAGAGAAGATGATTCTGAGGGACCTCTAGTCCCACCAAGATATATGCAGCCCGAGCCTCAACACCAAGAAGATGCAGGCGAGTGTTAGGGGTGCACCAGCCTTGGGGATTTAGGGGAAGGAGAGCTATTCGCTCTATCTAATTCGTTCCTAAACCGCTAAGGCAAATATAGTCAGCCAAATATTAATGAGTTCAAACCTTCAAACTCATATATCAACTGGCTCAATGATTTGTCTGAACAATTCAATGAGTGGATACAACATGATAAAGAAGAAGAACATCGTCGTTCACTTTGGTATTAAGTCATATCTTCATAATGGTATGCTCTATTTTCTTCATATTCATGATAATTGTATGCTCCATTTCTATCACGAATGTAATGGTCAACAAACACTCAAACAGGAAATGACCTCTTAGTATTCACATATTTTTACAAAATTATGAAAATCTATAATACAACACCTTCATTGTTTCTTGGAACTCAAAAATATTTTATAAGAAAATATTAAAAAATTGAAATTGTTTTTGAGTTTGGATAAGCCCAAACTGACTGATCCACCAATCCGAACCAATTTCTTGAACTGCTGATCTGCCCTGCCAATCCTAGGTTTCAAACATTGGCTGTAACCAATGGGAGAGAGCTCACCTATGAAGATTGGGAATCTAAAGGTTAAGATTATCGATCTTACCATGTCATAAGGGATATCTGGTAGTCATGTTGGTAGGGAAGTCATTCCCATAGTAGATTATGTGGCCTAGGGAGGTGTGTTGGGTCTCGATCTTTGGGTAACTCATTTCCATGGAGTTAACTTTCTATTGCATGTAGTTCTGGTTTACCGTTTGTGCCATTGATGTGTTGGCTATTATATTAATAAGGCACGTCCTTAGAAGAGAAACTGGAAAGTAAAAAACAGTCAAGTATATGCTAGAGCGAAAAGATGTTAATGGGCAAAAGTGCCCTTTACAAATTGTGCATGGTATAGAGCCATCCTTTGGAAACATGATTGGACCATATAGTTCAATCGGTTGGACCAAGAACCTCGGCGTTCTGTTTTGACGACAAACAAAAAGGCAACTGACATTTCACAAGTTGCTAGAAATCCTCCTTTCTTTTAAGAAATGAATATGTTGAAGAAATGACTGAACGCCATAAATAATCCTTTGAGATGATTTACTGCATAGGTCAATTACGGTCAAGTTTCGTAACCATCTTCCCACTTTTCGCGGCCCACCTCATGGCCATTGCACCCACGTCGCAGCATCCCACGGTCAATTCGCATTTGAATTAGTTTGCGCTTACCTAACCCAGGTGCCTTAGTCCCTCGTTTAGCCTGCCACCGAGTTGTGCCATTATTTGGTGTGCAGGCTTATGCACCCAAGTGCCATGATGCGCACATGCCTTGTCTGCACTACCCACCCTTCAACCCAAGGCTCACACATCCCTCCCATGTAGGAGTGTAGTATTAAAAAACTACACCACTGTGAGTGAACACTAATAGCCTCAAAGTAGCATTGGTTCACCAGGATGGTGCGTGAGGTTAGCTGGTGCACCAGGCTGGGACGTAATGCTAGCAGAAGGGTTTGGTAGTTCGTCTTGCCAATTGAGTGGTGCGTCAAGGGAGGTTTGTTGGCCATTCCCTTGACCAACATGCATGCATTGAGTTGGGGTCTTGACAAGCCTCCAACCAATAGTTCCTGACGTCCTCATTGGGGGTCTAGCTAAGAATCTTGGACTAGCTCCTCATATTCCAAAGGGTCGCATCCTTCTCCCTTTTTCGTCCTCAGGCCAGTCCTTCCACTTGACCAGGAATTCCACTGTCTGATTCTTCATGCTTTGGCCGAAAAACTATCGAGCCAATATAGCCTCCACCTTGTGCTCGAATTTGGTCCTCACATTTGGTGGAGCTTGTACTGCTTGAACCCTATTTGGATCATCATCTTTGTGATAGGGCTTCAAAAAGCTCACGTGGAGCATTGGATGCACCTTGATCCGGTTAGTAGGGCTAACCAATGGGCCAGCTTGCCTATGAGCCTGATCACCTTGAAGGGGCCATCATCCCTCTAGTTTAGCCCACGATCTGTAGTTTTTGCACTAATTTTCTTCTTTATCTATGGGGTGAGTTTGAGAATGGCTTAGTCACCTACTTCTGACTCAAGGTGCCTCCAACCTTGGTCCCCATATTTCTTCGTCTGCTTGACTACTTGGTCAAGGCACTCATTGACCTATGCAAGCTGTTCGTCACAAGGGCCTACCCTTGTTGCAAAGCCACATCATGTATTGCCAAGGGCTATCGACTAATAGCCAACTTGAATGGATTCTTCCTAGTCAACGAACTGCTATGCAGATTATAGTAGAATTGAGCCAGACTGACCTAATTGTGCTGGTCTATTACCATCACATAGTGCCTCAAGTACTCCCCCAACACAACATTCACACTCTAGGCCTAGCCATCTATTTAAGGATGACTGCTGATGGAGAAGTTTAGTTTTGTTCCCATCCACTCAAATAAGTGTCCCTAAAATCTCCCAATGAGCGGAGCACCCCGGTCACTCACAATGTCTTCAAGGACACCCCACATCTTGAAAGTTGGAGACGGTTGACTAGCACGGTATATGCGATTTTTAATTTTTCTCTTTTCTATTGGTTAGAACACTTACAAAGGTCCAAATAATACAAAATAAACTCAAAATCAACAAATATGAATACCAATACGGTTCTTACTTGCTTCCACTAAATAAAAGTCTTTTATTTCAATGACCAAAATTACATAAGACTCAATAGGGAACAAGAAACCCAAACTGCATAACGTAAAATAAGTTGTTAGAAGATTACCTGAACTGGACTTGATACACCCCACTCTGGGTCTCCTCTATTGGTGCTCAAGATTAGAGTCTATCTCAGATCTTATAGGTATGGGAAGCCTAGACTAGGAACCTTTCAATCATAGAGAGCATTGTGGAACACAAATAGGACTCAAGCTCTTGTGAGGGGCATGGCTACTCTTAGGTTTACAAGACTGGGGCGTGGCCTATTTTCTTTCTTGCACAATAATTTTCTAACTCTTACGGAGGCTAGAGAGATGAGAGAGATAAAAGGGAGAGGGAGGCGTGCCTCCTTTGTGAGGGAGAGAGAAATTGTAACTTAGGGTGTAGAGAATGATCCCCCATTGAGACTATTTATAGGCTCATGTTTAGGGATATGGTTTCTAAGGCTAGCCATCCTTATGGAGAATAAATCCAGACCATTAGTTATAGGATACCTGTTGCGTGAGAGATTTTAACCTTACAATCCTTAGAGCAGCCATCATGATCTAAAAGAATGTGCTAAAACCCTATCCTTGGCTTCCTTAACTTAATCTCATCAAATATTCAATTTATGGAAAAATATATTTCCTTTTCCTTTAATTGCCATATTTTCTCTTACACATGCTTCTTTGAAAAGTCAAATATCTTTTAATTGCAAAACCTTCCCTTTTATTTTAAACTGAATAAGTGACTGAGTTTGCATGCCACAAGATAGGAAAGGAATAGCATTATTTGGGGCGTGCTTGTCATGGAGCCCCAAGTGGGCCCCACACACCTCCCCTCATGCGATTATTTTAGTGGGGCCCATGGAGTGCAATAGGCTCCCATGTGTATTATAATTTTAAAATTGTGACAATGATTTTTAGAAATCATTTATTCTCTCTTAATAATTAAAAACTAAAAAATGAGTTTTACCGTATTTATAAATCTATTTTGAAACCAAAAAATCCAAAAATTTCTTAAAATTAAGTTTATTCATCTAAAAATCATTTAACTAAATTAATTCGACGGGATTTGGATCCAACTATGTTGAGGAAATAACAAAATTTATGAAGCATTCCATCTTCTACAAGAGACCATGAACTGCAACCACTTTCTCAAACTGACTCAGTACTTCCCATGACCCCATAGTCCATCATAGGGGTTCATGATTCGGCTACCACAGTCAGCCAATAGGTGAGAAGACATAATCCTATTATATGGATTACCGGATCTCCCCTGGGACAAGTCCTAAGTCACGCATACATGTACACACATGTTGCATTTGGTGCATATGAGGGTAATCCCTCGCACATGTACACGCATCACCCTCAATGGTGCTTTGTTTCCCGATATGGCTATCATGTGTACATGAGTGTGATGGTACAAGACAAGGCTTGGCCCTCGTCCCTTTAAGCCCACCAATCACACACAAGGGTCACTTAGTCCCTGGCTCACTACCCTGGACAACTCCGACCTCATCAAGGGATAACCTTGCTAACCCTTCTCAGTTGGACTCTATACCCAGGTATGTAGGGTTTTGGTACTCGACTGGCCTAGCTCGTTAAGCCTAGTCTAAGTCTTGGAAACAATATTGCCAATCTCGGTCCCTTTGGACCACACTCCCACTGGAGTTCTTTGTTCCACTATAACAAAATTGCTTACAAGCTCTCATAAGGCCTTTAAATGGCTACAAAAGTCCAACACATCTTCACTATGTGGGTCAAGAACAACTGCACTGCTGCCTCTAAAGTGCAGTGATCAGGAGCCATGGTCAAAGTTCCATACTTGGAGAATCGATAAACCATGACCATGATCTAGGTCATTCCATCCTCCTAGTCTAGCTGCCATTGAAGTCCTCCGGTAGGCTCCCCATGGGCAATCAGGGATAAGAAGGGGCTCGAGCAACCCGACCCGCTTTTGTTGATCCGTCTTCCTACTGACACACCAAGCAGGTATGGAAATAGAGTTCTACCTTCTACTCCATACGAGGCCAATAGAAGTTCCTGGACAAGAGAGCTAGGGTCCTTTCTTTACCAAGGTGGCCCGCTACTGGTGCATCATGGCATGCCATCAACAGCTCTTTTTTGAGATCACCTCCATGAAGCACATACACACCGGCCTTTGGCATTGAAGACGCCACCCTCTAGCCGAATGTGCTAGGTGTGTCTCTCCTGGACATTTTGCACTAGCTTTTGGGTTAATAGATCATTTGAAGTCTCCTCACAAATCCCCCGGAGTAGTCCTCCTTCTACTCGAACCATGGCTGCAACCAAAACTAGATGATAAGCCTTCCTTCTTAGGGCATCAACTACAACATTGGCTTTTCCTAGTTTATATTCCGAGGAAAAGTCAAATTTTGCTAGAAATTCTTCTATGTAGTGAAGTAGCTTGTGGCCTCATTGTTTGTGCAGACCAAAAACTTACTTTTCAACAAGTAATGCCTCCATGCGCAAGCAATATACTACTACCATCATTTCTTTCTCATGGACCGAGTGTATCTGCTTGGTCTCATTGAGCTTTCGGCTCTCAAAGGCAATTGGGTGCGCATCTTGCATCAGGACTCTCCCAATCTCTTGGCTTAATGCATTGGTATGTACTTTGAACAAAGTCAGGAAGGCGTAGCACTGGTTTGCTAGTGCCTACCCTCTTAACTTCTGAAAGGCCTCACAGTCATCCATCCAGTCCCACTTGACCTTATTCTTGGGAAGTCTAGTCAAGGCATAATCTTCTTTGAGAAGCCCTCAATAATCGCCAGCAATAGTTAGGTAGCCCAAGAAAGGACCGTAGCTCACGGACGTTCTTATGCTGCGGCCAATCTAAGATAGCACACATCTTTTGATCATTTATTTTGATCACTCTGTTACCCACTCTATGCCCAAGAAGCATGATTCCTCTTTAGCTAATAGACATTTTTCTAGCTTTAAATACGATTAACTCACTCTCAAATTCTCTAACACCAGCCTCCAATGTTGAACATCATCAAGGTTCTGGCTATACGCTACAATATCATCTAGGTACACAACTACAAAGACATCAATATACTCACTAAGCACATCATTTATTAACTGACTGAAAGTTGTGAGGGCATTAGTAAGCCCAAATGGCATTACAAGAAATTCAAACGATCCATAACGGGTTACACAAGCTATCTTCTCTTCATCTTTGCTATCCAAACTTGCCAGTAGCCTAAGCACGGTCTTGTTTATTGAACACCGTGCCTTAGCCACCCCGTCAAAGAGGTCACTAATGAGGGGCAGTGGGCAGCGGTTTCTTCACCGTCAGCTTGTTCAGTTTGTGATAGTCCATGCATGTCTGCATGGATCCATCTTGCTTCTTTTAGAAAAAAACTGAGGCACCGAATGGAGACTTGGATGGTTGGATCATCCAAGAATCTATTAGCTCGTCTAGCTGCTTACGTTATTCAGCCACCTCCAAGGGAGCCATTTGATATGGGGCATGAGCTAGTGGTCGAGCGCCTGCCTCGAGATCGATCTAGTGGTCCACCTCTCTTCGTGGAGGGAGGGAATTTGGGAGTTCGGGGGGTACCACACCAACATACTTTTTCAGCAACTCCCCGACCACAAGGGGCACTGAGACACCTTTGGATTCACTGAGCACTAGGGTGGCCAAGTGCGTAGCCTGACCCTGTTGCAGCCTTGTCTTCAGTTGTAGGGTAAACAGCATTTTGCCTTTTCCTTTGTGCTCAATTGGAACCATATGTGGGCACGACTCATCAAAGATGGTCACCACACCCAAGTGTGGCACCACTGCAGCCCTCGCCATCACCAAAGTCTCAAGGCCGAAGATGACCTCGAAATCATCTGAAACCCCTGCCAGGAGTGAAATTCGCCCACTCCAGGTTCCCATCGTTACAAAGACATCATGAACCCTCCCCACAACTGACTGGGTGTAGAATTAACTATTTTCATCCTACTAGCGTCCCTAGCTAGCTAGCCTGAGGCCTAGCCACAATATCGCTCGGTCGGCCACAAAGTTATGGGTGGCACTAGTGTCCATTATCACTCTCAAATCCTTCCCATTTAAGGTGATCCTGACATACACCAGGCCACCACCCTCCTTGCCTACATTTTGTATTGCATTTCCATGAAATTAAAAGGGTGTGGCTCTCACGACTTCTGCTTCGCCTTCATCCACCACCTGAACTGCATGTCTGCTTTTAGGGGCAGTCCTTGGCTCTATTGAGGCCTTTGTAGATGAAACACCAGGAGACGTCCTTGGTACCTAGTTTGCCAAAACAGTGCCGCTTAGGTTGTCTACCTGTTTGCCGTTTGGGGTCCCCATTACTTTCTTTTCTTTTCCTCTACATTTGCCTTGTCAAGATCCCTTGGATGAGGCATTCAACTTATAGTCCACTAGGGACTCTGTAGCTAGCCACGGCTGCTAGGAGGTCTTTCAAGCATCAAGCTAAAAAGTTGCTTGACATATTCGCGCACAGTGGTAGTGTGCTTGAGTTTTCCTAGGGCCTCTCTGGCCGTCTAAGCTGCGTCCCTTGGCAGGAACTGCTCCTTAAGCTCCCGCTTGAGGTCCTCCCAACCTATAACAGGAGGCCTCGACCTGTCCATCTTGCGAGTCCTCCAACAGAGATTTGTGTCTCTGGTAAGGTACATTATGGTCACTATCACTGTGTCTTTTACCCTAGCCTGGGTAGTAGTAAAGTACTGCTCCATGTCCCTTGGGGAGTTCTTTTGCTTCTTTGCACTTCTAGCTCCATCAAAAGGCTTTAGCTCAGACACCTTGACTCGTGGCTGTTGAAGCACACTAACAGAGTTGCTCAGGACCCTTCTGACTTGGCTGAGCTCCTTAGTTAGGGTCTTGAGGTTTTTCTTGAAAACATCAGTCAGGGAGGCAACATCAGCTTCCAGGTCCCCAGCTGGGCTCCCCAATTACTAATGTGCTCCTCATGTGTAGCCACCAGCCCATCGCATCAGGAGCTAAGATCATGGGCTCTCTCCTCTGGGTAGCCACTCAAACCACCATCTCCCTCATCCCCAAAACTCATTCAGTCATTCAAGGTCAAGGCCATGATTGTGGTACTGAGGCTCTGATACTAATTGTCACGGGGCCAAATGTTTCGCTTAGCACCGTGCGGTCATAACACTTGGCCAGGCTACTGAGGGACAAGTTCAATCTTTCCTGTGTTCAGCAATTACTAGCACATGCATACACACCACATTCACAAGCACAAGGTCAAGGGTCGTAGCCCACTTTATTGAGCTGTACAATTACAAATGTATATACTAGCATAGATGCCCCACCAAGGGTCTTGGCCAGGGGTATATGTAGCCCCGAGTTACAACCAACTCATTCAAATTACATGACAGGTGGTGACCAGCCAATGCACATGGTCTCGTCAAGGGCACTTGGAAGCTAGCCAGTGGCTACCCACTTCTTGAGCAGTTACACTGCCTCACCTTGTCAGCCGCCAGTCTCAAGCCATGTCCTGGGGTGAGGCCAGTGGGCTAATTAGCCCGGTCAAGCTCTACAACCATCTCCCCACTTTTAGCAGCCCACGTCATTGCCATTTCACCCATGTCGCAGCATCCCACGGTCAATTTGAATTTGAATTCAAAGTTGGCCCCTACCCAGCCAAGGTGCCTTAGTCCCTCACTTAGCCCACTATCTGAGTTTTGCCACCATGTGATATGTGGACACATGCACCCACACCCGATGTTATGCATTTGCCTTGTCCATATATACCCGCTGGTCGACCCAAGGCTCACACCTTCACATATAAGAGTGGTGTTAAAAAACTGGACTACGGTGAGTGAACACTTAGAGCCTCAGAGTAGCATAGGTGAACTAGGATGGTGCATGATGCTAACTGGTGCTCCAAGCTGGTGCATGATGCTGGCAGAAAGGTCGGGTGGTTTGTTTGGCTGGTTGACTGGTGCGTCAAATGAGGTTTGTTGGCCGTTCCCCTGACCAACACGCAAGCACTGAGTTGGGATCCCGACATTAGGCTTGCACCGCTTCAATTTTTTCATTTATAAGTAGCCACGTTATTATTATTATTATTATTTTCATCATTTTTCTTATTGGTTCTTTCTTTCCATTTATTCTATAAAATAGTAATTTAATCTCTTTTTAATTAATGGATGCAGTGTGTTGGACTGGGCTTGGGTCTGAGCAAAGTTACTTGATTGGGTCCAAGTGGGTAGTGAGCATTGTAAAAATTGAAAAAGAGCAAAAAAAAAAGTAGAAAAAAGAGGGAGGGGACTTTGGCCTCGTGTCCAAGAGAGAGAGAGGGGCCGGGGGCATTGGCCACATGTCTCCCTTTCTCTCTCTCTCTCTTCGATC